AAAGAGCTCGCAACGGCAATAAATTAGCTCAAAGGTAAGTAAGTCTACATGGTCGCACATTTCATTGCCCCAAAAATAACAAGTATTACAACGTTCACATTGAAATTATTTACAACGAGCGGCGTTCACAAAAGCTTGCCCGCGTTTATTACGACCATAAATACTAACACGGCTCCGGGGAAATTTATTTTGACTCACCTATAATTTATTAGTAGCATACCGGCTGGGATTTTACAAGGACCCAGTTTTCTTCACTTGTTTAGTGACTACACCTTGATTTGACAACCGTTTGTCGAATGTGTTAATTTCATTATGTGGGTGGCGTTTCAATTTACAAAGAAGTGGTGAAAAATACATTTGTTGCTTGACATACAAAGTCAACCGAGCCTTTTACGTAACTTTCATGGATATCTTAGCAACCTGTTATTGTATTTGAATCAATAAGAATCATTTATAATAATATATATGAATCAATAAGAAACAGTCACGATAAAGATAATGTCGCAGAAATGTAAGATGAAATGAAATAACATCAAACATATATCTATGGAAAATATGAAAAAGCAACTGGAATAAAAGAACAAATTGCTTATACTTGTTCCTTGTAATAATACTATTATATTTTATGATAAAAATGTTATCTTACTACATTGATGAAATAATATCTAAAAATATCAATTATATTTTGATACAGAAAATGATATATTTAATGAAGTTTCGATGCTTTAAGTTGCATTTTATCTTAATACTTTAGTGTATTGAAAATATATCTATACGAATATTATGAAGCAGAAGAGTTTGTTTGTTTCTTTGTTTGAACGCGCTAATCTCAGGAACTACTGGTTCGAATTGAATAATTCTTTTTGTGTTGAATAGACCATTTATCGAGGAAAACTTTAGGCTTCGGCTGTTATAGGCTTTATAATATCACGCTGCAACTATTAGGAGCGAAAAAATAATGGAAAACGCGGACGAAGTCGCTGGCGGTCACTAGTAATAAATAAAACGATTGTTTGTTGCCTAAGTAACATTATTTGCGGTTATTAGGTTGCTTTTCTTATTACCATCCTTACATATTATGGAACACTATCTATCATCTATTCTCTCATTCCGGTAGTCTGTTCGATTAGAAAAAAAAATCAAAACTATCAAACTGTCATTCTTTATGGTGAAAATTTAAGTGCTACACCAAGATTATGCGTAAATTATCTATATTATAATGCTGATTATTAATCATCGGAAAAAATATATTGACTAGAATCTTAAGTACTTGTGAAGCAGATACTCCATCTCGAATACTTATTGAGTGGTGGGCTAATTGTTGTTGTTCGATCATAAATATCAAACATTACAAAAAACATGTATGTATTTTTCGTATTAATTTTAATGCATTGTAGACCATTATAAGTAATATTAGCATTCCACAATTCTGCTCTATATCATTGCTTCATCTATTAATAATATTCGATTTCTAATTAATGAAATTTTTCCTTAAATTTTCTAACAAAAACATGTTTCTTATTTTCGCAATACTCTTATTTTATGCTCCTTTATAACGTTAAGTTCCATATAGATAACTTTAGTCAATAATTCCATTGTTATAAACAAACGTACTATTGTCAATGTTATCTAAATATACCTTAAGCCCAGATAAAGGTTTACTGCACCAATAAATACTGCAATTAGGGGCACTGGGTGTTTATGGACAACTGTCGACTGCGGGGGTCTAATTGTAAACATTTGTAACAGCCGAATATTTAATGGAACATCATAAAATAATGACAAAAGGGTGGGTTTACCCCAGATACAAGGTAAAACGAAATATTGGTAAACTTTTAAAGTGTATAAATTACTAAGAAAATATGTAACACTACTAAAAATAATGTTATTGACACAGTAAAACTATTTAAACAAGATAACAAGACAAAAATTTCAAAAAGAATACATCTACAAGGCAGTTAATTTACTTAAGAAACTTCTATTAAAAAGTTGTGCGTCTTACTTCACAAACTCTAAACCTTACTCAACACATGTGGCTTAACACATCGGCATGTGGCCGATTATTTTTATATTATATATCAAATACTTTCCTAGAAAACTCTTGTGTCATAGAAATTTGTAACATCGAATACACCACAGCTACCTGGACTGGAGATAACATAGAAAATACCATTCTACAGTGCTCTAACCGAGTATTAAAAACCAAGGCAATATTTCTCCTTGTAACTGGGGTGTGAGCTACACGGCCACCGAATTCTTCAAAAAATTATGCTTAGTTTAAGAGATGGCAAAACTTTCTACTATTGCAATAACGCAATGAATTCTAAACTATTGATTTTAAAGACACGGTCACTGACTCAAAGACCACCCAGTGGTCGTTATCATAGTGATTTTAGAACGGTGGTTTCAGATCACCAGACGTCAGATTATATTAGTTGACCACAGTCACCAGAGACGCTTGAGGATTAATTACCAGATTTTATACACGGAATACGTCTAAAAGCACCCCATGGGAGCTGTCAGCTTTTTTTAATCTGCGGTGCAGTCAACAGAAACTGTGGTGAAGATACTCGTACAATGAAGTAGGTTTAGAAAATTAATTTAATTAAACCTGTAGATTTATTCTATATATCAAACCTGTACATTTTACTGTACGTTTCTTTTATTATACTTTTAATGCTGTTGCAGGGTTATATTCAACGTACCTTGGATACTGTATTTTTAACAGAAGAGCAGTGAGTTGCCATTGAACGATAAAAAAACATTCAATAGAATCGAGATTATCTTTTTTGTAGTCTATTCATAATTGTTAGTCGATGTTGATGACTACGGTTGGCTAAAGGAAATTGCGTTTTAGCGCCGATTGTACTATAAAGTTAAGCTTTTCAAAAGTTTAATTTGTGGTGTACAATAAAGTATTTATTCATCCATTAAAAAATAGCCTTTGCTCGCCTCACAAAAATTCGTTATCTTTTTAGTAATTTCGTAGACATAATTTATGATTTCTGTCGATTATCTTGTTGCCATTACTAATCTTCTTTGAATAGCTTTGTGACTAATTTATTACGTTTTAGAGATTGCAACCTCAGATCATCATAACTAGTTAGGCAAATTTATGATTAAATTGACTTTTGTGGTGCGAACGCCTAACTCTCTAGCCAATAAATTGTTTCATTTTACTAATTGGTATAACATGATTTTTAGTGGATTACAAAGTTAGAATCACTGCCGTCAAATCCACAATCATTATATAATTAAACCAAATATCTCCCTATCGCTAAGATGTCGTTTCCTGTAACAAGGACTTCATTATTTTATTAAGGAACTTAATATGAAAACAATTCGTAGTCTATTACTAAATAAAAATATAAATATTTTGATTAACTCGGCTATATAAATACACATATATAATGTGTATACATACTCTTAATACAGTTATAGTTTGAAGTCACGTTTGATATTTGATAGAAATATTCATCATCAAGACCTACCTATTTATATTGATAGATTTCTTAAAAAGATTTATGTAATTTTAAACTTTGTTATTCATATACGAATATATATTTGATGAATGTTAAAATTTCTATATTGATTTGTCTTAGATAAAATACTTTAGTTTAATACTTTTCAACAAATTTTCTATGTTACCTACAGTATTCAAAAACTTTGATCTTACCGCATCCGTCGTACACAATATCCATCGAAGGAAGAAGTTTCAAGCTAATTCGTTTTGGGCCACTTTTTATGCTCGTAGATAATTGTGGTTGTTTACACGTGAACAAATTCTTTTATCGGCGTCTAATTGGCTTCGGAAATTGGTTTTCGTAATGCCACAGCATAGCTTGACGGACAACCGGATGGTGGTTACAATATCGACTCTATAGCATCAAGATAAACACTACTTTTGAGAGTTAGAAGAAAAGTTGAGCGTTTGATCATTGATGCGTATTGATACGGTTTTGTGGGTTTTCAGATTCTGTGTCAGGTTTATGCGATTGTGGGATGGAAGTAGCCGAAGCATATTACGTATTTGATTATATAAAACTACTTTTCAATTTTCATTGTTTTGTTAAAAAGCATTGTCCGTGTGGCAGTGACTTTATTTTGTTTTGTTAAATATTCATTTACATTATTAAAATAATTGAAAGTAGGTTAATTGAATTTATGATATGAATAAAAATTTTTTTCATCACCAATAATATAATTTCATAGATAAATCAAACTGATTTTATAGGTGCATTTACTGTGGGGTAAGATTTTACATTTAAAAGGTAAAGGATGTTACCATTCATCCTAAAGCAAAGAAAAACATAAAAAGTGATATACCTTAAAACAAAATATTACTCTTTTAAAGAATGAAGCCGTAAAGTGGTTAATTTCCCTAAAATCAGACGCGACGCAAACTGGCAACCGAACGAGACCCGATCTTGCAATAAACAAGTTTTTTGTTTCGCATGTCCGCGTACTGTCAAATATATTACAGCCCGTGGCGTTATTTACGACCTTAGTCGTCCGCCCATACGTTATACTTAGTATCTTTGTTTGGACACAATAAGCAATATTTCTAAAGGGCCGCCATCGCTCGCAGCTGGTGATATGGGTTCCCAAATTGACATATTTAATTTGATCGGTACGGAGGAGGGTCCGTTTGTACGAGCCTCGTGTTTGACAGGCTTTAGTGTCAGATTAACATTAACGTTATGGACTTAACTTTGTCAATAAACTTGAAATACTATCGTTGGAGACTGTTCCCAAAACAAGCGTTGACACATCAAACGGTAAGTTCTTTTGGAACAGATCAATTTCACCGTTTGAACTGTACTATAAATCAAAGCGAGGAAGCTCGTAAAGAGTAATAGTTTCTAAGATGTCTGTGAAGTGTGATGACAGTAAAGTAGGTACGTTGTAAAGGCATAATAAGAATAGTTGAGACAAAAAGGCTGGAGTGTAGGCCAGGTAGACAGCAGTCATGCTTGCGGCGCGCTCAAAGCCGTGCCGTCATGGGTGGCGAGCCACCAACACCATCGCACGTCTCAATCCACACCCGGCAGCCGACCATACCGCCTTTCCTTTTTCCCCTACCGCAATGCAGCTATGTGTCGTTTCCGCTTTATTTTTTATGGCCGCACGCTGCAGCGGAGAGATATAACGCACCCGCTCTAACAAAGACTCAAAATAGTCCCGTCCTTATCTACCGCTTGCGGGGTGAGGTGAGACGCTGAGTTTGCCGTTGGTGGGGTTTCGTCTCGTACAGTCGCCTCGACCGCCGCTCTGAACGCACACGTTTCGCTCTGTGTTCCGCGCATCCGTCACATGCACTGTGTTGTTAAAACCGTATCGTAACAACTCTGTGAAGTTTATTAGTGATCGTAAACATTTTTCTCCAAATGGTGGTGTTGGAAGACGGAGGAATGATGACTACTAATCCTAATCAATATCTCCAACCTGATTATTTGGCTCCGCTTCCGTCATCTGTAAGTATAAATAATATTGTGACGATTAGATATATTTACTATCAAAATAAAATAAAAAAGTTATTAAACATTTTTTAAACGATGCTCATAATGTATTTTTTTATTTTGTTACAGTTGGATGCGAAGAAAAGCCCGCTTGCGCTTTTAGCGCAAACCTGCAGCCAGATTGGTGCTGATACAACTCCAACAAAGCCTCTGCTGCCACCGCTTGATAAAAAGAAAGTGACAAGTGTTAATAGTGAAGTTATTAGTCGTTCGTCTCCTAATAGCGCAAACAAACCGGACAAACCTCGTTCTACCCCGGACAATAAACATCTTGCGTTTAAGCCATACGAAACAAATGTAGTTTCTAAAAAACCTGACGAGCCTCGTCCATCATCAAAAGCAAGTTCAGACAGTTCTGATGATAAAAAATCAGGAAAAAGTACCCCTGGCCGTAAATCTACGCCACCTACTACTGAGAATGGAAAAAGCAGTCCTTCTACGGAGACAAAATCTTCCCCCACGGGTTCCTCTGGAACCAGCCCTATAATCCGATCTGGGTTGGAGGTTTTAGGCCACGGAAAAGATCATCTCGGTGCTTTTAAGAATTTGCCTGGCCTACCTGGATTCAATCCTTTGACCGGACTTTGCTGTCCACCTGGGATGGAACAACATGGGAATCCTGCATTTAGGCCCCCTTACGCCGGTGCCCCGTTCAGCGCTCATCACGCAGCTATGCTTGCCGCTGCTGCCGCGTTCCCTGGATCATCTCCAAATCCTTATCTTGGTTATGCCCGAGTTAAGACACCCGCTGGAGGGGAAACGTTGGTGCCTGTTTGCAAAGACCCCTACTGTACTGGATGCCAATTTTCAGTGAATAACCACCACTTGCTAATGAGCAACGGATCATGTCCCGCTGGTTGCACACAATGTGAACATCAAAAGTACAACTTAGCAATGGCAATGGCACTCTCACAGCAAGGTGCCGCCGCCGGCGGTCTCCCTTACCCTCAATTAAGTCGCCCCTATGTATGCAATTGGATTGTCGGGGAATCTTACTGCGGAAAAAGGTTTGGAAACTCCGAAGAGCTGTTGCAACATTTAAGAAGTCACACAACAGACGGTTCAACTCCTGCGTCCGTGTCTTCAACGCAGCCATCTTTATTGAACCCTTTGAACCCCCTTTTCACAACAGCTGGCTTGAGAAGTGCTTATCCGACGGCACCGCTGAGCCCTCTCTCGGCTAGCCGATACCATCCTTACTCAAAAGCTGCGCTCCCGGCTGGTATTGGAGCTTCACCGTATGGTGCCTTTAATCCTGCCCTAGGCCCCTTCTATTCACCGTATGCTATGTATGGCCAAAGGATTGGGGCTGCTGCAGTGCACCAATAAATCAAATAGTGCAAACTTGAACAATCCTGGACTGATTTATAATTTAATGTCGTGTTGTCCAATTTTCTTCTGTGATATTGATAGACTCTAATAATTCAAATGCGGCCTATCGCCCATGACAAAATTAGTGATTAGTGCAATCTAAATAAGTAATAATATAATTTATAGAAGTGAGTTGCCTAAGGAGCTGCTTCTACGCAAGTTATGTCGAAGATATGTGAGGACTCTGTACAGCCAAATGATTTGTGTAAATAACAATCTCTATGTTTAATAATAAATGAATTATTTCAAATATAATATCTACATAAAAATTACTCTATGATTTTATTTTATGTCTTTAAAAAAACCTTATTAAAGTGTCATCAAAACTGAACAAACCAATTCTCCGTTATAGTTGCATCTGTAACAATACTAAAGTGTAAATCTATGATATTGTGCAGTATACCAAAACCGTACCAAAGATTAAATTGTGATTTAACATCCTGCTAAATTATCCAACATGAAATTAGAAATCAAATAGAGAAAATAAATTTATCAACGTCAAGCGGCCGTCGCGCCGCACGCCGCCGCCGTTTCCTCGCGAACTTGTAATAAAGCGGACTGAGTGATTGATTGATCTGCCTCTAACACACATTAGAGACGTCAATCAACAAAATACTAAGCGTGATAAAACAAGAAGAAACCAACCACCCACACTCGAATGAAACAGTCATTGAAAAGTTAAAAGAAAAAGAAAAAAAAACATGTAAGCTTGAGTCGTTAATAACGAATGGAGCCGAGAGCTGTCAGCCGCATTGAAGTCAGATCTTTTTTTAATAAACGTTATTTTGATTAGGCGAATGTCAAGTCAAAATTCAACTGTCTTTAAATATAATTGGCGAGACGAATGCAGCGACGAGAAAAAATTACACAGCGAATAATATTAAGTTTTTTCAACTATTTTTAGCATCGACATGCGTCGACAGTACAACTACTGTAAGATTTAAATCTTTTATCTTTTTATATTATCATAGTCATATCTTCTCTTTTACGAATAAGCTATTTCTACTCTACTTGCTACTTTAAATCTCTATAAGTTTTCTAGACTTAAATAACCTACTGTCGATTTAAATTTTCTAAATATAATTCCGTATTACAAGAATATCATTTTAATATTAATAGAGTAATTTCAAACTGATGAAATTGAAATATTTTTTTTTTACTATAAAAATAAAAAGGTGACTAAATTTTAATGAAATAATGAATTACTGGGATTGACATAACATACCTACATATAAAATCGAAGCTGAATTTAAGTGCTCTTAATTTATGATAATATAAATGTTATTTATTTTAAATTGGAATATAAATTAACATCTTATTAACACTAAAAATAACCATCAACATTAGCTTGAAGTCTGCTAAGAATAGCCTTTTATGTCATAAGTTATTTAAATGTAGTTGAATAATGTGTCAATGATTTTACGATAACAGCGTCATTTATATTCTGATTGATTTATTTTAATGCGTCATTTTGGACCATAAAGTCGACTATTATGCATACTATAAAGATACTGCGACACGACTTTGACATAGTTTTCACTGAAAGCGAAATAAACCGTGAAATCATTACCTCTAACGCCATCTCTTGAGGATACGCCGTACTATGTGAACTTTGGTTTTGATTGAACGTGTTAGAGGTATGAGTACTCACAGCGCTAATAAAATTTAAAATTAATAAATAAAAAGTGCCTAATTACTTTAGGATAGTTATAAAAAACGAGTTTTTAATTTGAAATGAGAAAACTAGGCTACTAGGAGAAAACTACAAATACATAACTATTTTTAAGAGCCCTATTACAAATACATATAAACGTTCTACGCAGCCATACAAATTAAACTCGGCCAGCCGGTGCATTGCATTTTGTAGTAATTTTAGTTTATTTATCGTTTTCATTGTAATCTATATTTCTTATAAAGTTATTATTATTCTGGTACAAAAATTGTTCAATAACATTAACGGAGATAGGAGGAATTCACAGTTAATTTATAATTATTTTCGAAGTTTTGTGGATATTATTTTTTTTTTCATAATTTATTAATTTTTTCGAGGAACTTACTAACTAGGCGACTTTACGGAGATAGCATTCCATTTTTTTCTTCATTTGTTTAGACCAGTAGCTCAAACTTGAAGCTCAAAAAGTAGAATCACGTATTTTATGAAAATCTTTCTCTACAATTTAGGGTTTAATCAAAAAGCAAAGCATATAATCTATTTACAAAAAGTGAAGCCACTACGTATTTTTCACAAATATGCAACATATCGTTATATTATTTTAGTTTAGCAGTATTAAATACACTATAAATACCTAGCACCTAAACAATTAAATTTCATATAAAGAATGGATACGATTTTCTTTAATTTTAATAGCTTGTCATTATATGTCTCGGGAACTGGTTAATAATAATTTAAGAACAACAAGTGATGTTTAATAATTAAGAAATTATTAACTTTCCCGTTTTTATCATACATATATTATATTATTTTTACAGAGCTGTTGCAAAATTAACACCTGCTGTCGCCGCATAATTATACCCCGAGGCGAACAAGGCTGAATGTCAACTTTCCAATGAAAAAACAAACTTCAATTTATTCATTATAAACTTTTGTTACACGATTACGTGATTAATAGAAGCATTAAACGTTAAAGAAGAAGCATAAATCTAAAGATATTAATTGAGATAATAATGTAGATTTTATTAATGTGCGACGCGACCGCCTTGAAATATCACTGCACCTCTATACAAATGATCTCTCACGGCGAGATTACCTTTGACAGATGCGTACAGAAGATTGATGGTATACCGAGATGTAATCCGTGCAGCGAAATAACCAATTACGATTAGCATAAACATAAGGTGAAGTAAATTAACATATTATCAACAAATGAATTATGCATGCCGGGTATTATAGACCCGCACATCAAATTAGAGGGTTATATTGCCCCTCAACGTGGGGCATTGTTGTTGAAATCGCTTCACTGACGTGTTTTAGTGATTATGTAAATCTACCTGGATCTTATTTTTGTTCATATTCACTAGTTTGATGTTTGATTTTGTATGGAGCGATTTAAAAACGCACCGTGACTTCAATGAAACCCTCAAATGAAGCGGAAAGATCCATTGTGCCCATAGCAAGATTTTGACAATGTGCAACCGAATGAATTGGTGATAAAGATCTAGTGATTAAATCCAGCGAGCGTTAGTGAGGAACTGTAACAGTTCATTGTTATGTCAGTTTTGACAATTGGGGTACGGATCCTTTATAAAAGACGTACACATGCTTCGTAATAGATTAAATTCGTGTGAGAATCGTTTTCTTTTTATTAAATGTAATTTAAGGTGTATTACGAAATGGTTATTGTTAACCATAGATTTATGAAGCGATAGTGCTAAGAATAGCTTTCGAGTGTTCATCAAAGCTTATTACTAAACTAAAATGGATAAATAATTTTGATTGAATTTGAAACAAAATTTATAAAATATTATCAATAGGAAAAAAATATCCCAAGCTAAAGCCAATATATTAAAATTCCCTACTCAGTCCATTCGTTCACGGTCTTTTTTAATTGTGAAAATAACATAGGAGAATAACGAAACATAATTAAAACAATATTACGTCAGTGATAGAAGGCCTTAATGAAATTAAAAAAAAAACATACAAAGCTGGCAAAGCTGTCGCTAAAGATTTCAAACTGATGCAAAATACCGTTCAACCTTTGGTATTACTGTGAAACAAAAGACATACGACAATTATATCATTGGGGTAATATTATAACAATATACCAATCAACTGTCAGCCTCTTTAAATAATGGCACTATCGTATGTTACTGTTATTAAATTTCGCCTTTAATGATACATCTTTAGTATACCATTGTTTTGAAAACATTTAAAAAATAACAGGAAATAATTGTCTTTGTTAATTGTATATACTTTAAGTGACATGTTTTTAATTTAGTGTTATTGTAGTATCAAAAGAATGCATCAAACATGAAATATATATTCTGTTACATCTGTCACGACAATATTCCTGAACTAATAATAATTATTTGAAAATAATGGTTTGAATAAATTGCTAGTTAAAAAAAGCATTATATATTGCTTTATTAGAGATTAATGTTTTCACATCAGATGTAGCGTAGCAGCAAATTTTATTTGAAATTCATAAGCAGGAAACATTGAGTAGTACCTATATCTAAAAAGAGATACTGTAATTTCTTTCTAAATAATTGTTATTCATAGAATTGATGTACTTCGAAATAAACTATGAGAATACGTGAGCTGATCACGAATTTCCTGATCTTATTGACAATTCACAAATTAAGAAGCAAATTCAATATTTCATATAAGGGATTAAATTCCATATTCGGATCATTTTATAGATGTATCTAGATATGTCATAGAGATAGAGCATAAGTTATAGCTATGCATAAAATAATAAAAACGAAATGTCATTAATTCAGAGGATTTTCTCTAAATTAATGATATCTAGTCAAAGAATATGTTTAATTACTTACAAATTGTTATAATTACGTAATTATTACAGTTATTACTCGACTGACTTAATTGTAATTGTTATTTAAATAAAAAATATAATACCTGTTATTATGTATTGTAAAATTTCTCAATACCAAATTGTAAACATTTATTTATAAAACCTATATCACACTAGAAAACCTATAGGGTACTTCCTGAAGTCGTAGAAATCTGAAATTTCGTATGTACTAATACTAACTTATTAGTATACAGACAACAAGAAAATTCTAAAATTTGAATCTTTTAAACTCCAAACCTTTTATTTCGGAGATTGAACTGTGTATGAGACTTCCACAAAAATGTTGATATAATTTTGATTTTGTTGATATCTAAAAACCCTGTTTCGATACCTATTCACCGATGATCAAGTCGAAGAAGAAAAGTTAATATTCAATCCTTAAATTAAGGGTTAACTTTGTATGGGTGTTCCTAAAGAAACTTAATTTCATGCTAGTACGATTCATACGATATATTGCCAGGTTTTTAAGTCATGCTTGCTAATACTTACATTAATTACAAATATTAAATATATAAGAGATACGTTTGTTCGTCCTACTTTTACGCCAGAATGCAGTAGTATTATAATAATATTTTTTATTTGAATGTCGTTTGGTTACATAGGAATTGTGGCTTTGTCGTTCCATTTTTGCAAGAAAGACTACACTATAGTATAACAGAAAAGTAATGACTGGTGAATAATTTGTTCTCCTCGTGTCCTTTAACGGCCGAGCTAAT